TTTGACTCATTGTTGTTTTTAGGTACCGTGGAGTCGGTTCCGACTCATAGTGACCCTGCACAGGGTTTCTGAGGCTGTAAATCTTTACTGGAGCAGAACGCCTCATCTTTCTCCCGTGGAACTGCTGGTAGTTTCGAACTGCCGACCTTGAGGTTAGCAGCCCGATTTGTAACCACTACGCTACCAGAGCTCATAGTTATCCTATAAAATTGAATTGAATTGCTCCGTAGGGTATCTGAAGCTGTAAATCTTTGTGGGAGCAAACAGCCTCATCTCCATGGAGTGGCTGGTAGTTTTGAACTACCAGCCTATGGCTAGCAACTTAATGTGTACCACACAGTGTCACCCCAGGGCTCTTAAAAAAATTAATAAAGGAAACAAAGAAAGAGATGAATGAACTGAATGTTCAAGTTTAGGAATAGGAAAAAGCAAAATGGACTCCAAGAAAGTAGAGCAAAGGAACTAAGAAAAAGTAAATGTAGAAATTAATGAGATAGAAAACAAATAAAAGTAGAACTGTGCATTATAATTTAAAACTGTGTTTTTGAAAAAGGTAAGTAAAATATTAAGTCCCCGTTTCCCATGGAGTTTATATTCTAGTGGTGGTGATGGGAGGATACAATAAAAAACCAATAATGATAGAAGATAATTGCAAATAGCAGTAAGTGCATCACAAAGGAATTAGAACATGTGGCTAATATGGCTATAATGCAGAATGGGGCTGTTTCATTTTAAATGGACAGCAAATGGCACTATAAAAAGGGATATTTAAACCAAGACATGGTTGATTAGAAGAAACCAGCTTTGTTGGAGGTGGGAGATTACCGTAGGCTGACCAAATAGAAAACGAAGACTGTAAAACAGGATATGTCTGAGACACAGAGAAAACTACTGGGACTGAAGCACAATGAACCAGCAGTGTCAGATGACACCTGAGAAACAGTCATATGCCAGGCCACACTTACAGGCCTTCTGCTTTCAACGTTTCTTCTTTTTGAGGTTGATTGTGGTTGCTTTGTTTCCTTCATTCATTCAGCGCAGGGGGCGTTATAAGGCAAGGTGGATCCCAAAAGATGAATACAGGATCCCTGTTCTGGTACAAGTGAACTCACGGTCCCTGAAAAGTGGCAACCTAGAAAATTCATATTAAAACTGTGTTGAAATAGCAAACAATTATTTTTACTTAGCTTGTGCTATATATTTTTTTAAACGGAGACCTTTGTAAAGATGGTTTTGTTTGCATTTTCCACATATTGGCACATCCATCCTCACTGAATAAAATGTATTTGTTTTCAAGGTGTCTTAATGGGGTTGGTGACGATTGTAAAGAGAGGAATGTCCTGCACAGTGGCCACACCTGGGCGGCACCATACAGATGCGCACACGAGGGTGGATAACAAAAAGATGTAGCTTGGCACTCGCCTCTTCCGGAACAGCAGCTGGTGCTCGTGCCAAGGCTAAGCCTGCGACCTAATTCGCATGCGCAAGGAGGGACGCGGGTGGGGCGAGCGGCCGCTGTGCGTGGGCTCGAGGCCGGTGAGGCGTGAGTGGTTTTCGCAGCCTTTTTGAGCTGCAAACACTGTCTCCGCCAGCTTTTTAGGTTTTGAGCAGGCCTAGCCCGGCTGGGCTACAGCGAAATCCTGGCGCAGCCGCCGCCGTCGCCGGCGAAGACGTCGCCGGGCCCCGGGAAGGTGGGCACCGGCTCCAACCGCCGCCTGGGTGGCGTTCGCGCTGCTCCCATGTCTTCACCCCCGGGGCGTCGGGCTCGCCTGTCGGCCCCGGGCACAAACACCTCGTCAGTCGAAGCCCGTGAGGAGCTGCGGCGCCGTCTCCAGGGCCTCATTGAGGGCAACCGCGTGATGATCTTCAGCAAGAGCTACTGTCCGCACAGCACGCGGGTAGGCTGGGGTAGGAGCTCGGTGCTGCTCAGCCCCGTGACTCGTCTCGGGCCTTTCCTGAGCGCTGTCCGCGGATGTTCCTCGCGGGAAAGGCCAGAGGAGGGCGCCCCCAGACCCCTGGCCTAGCACTTCCTCCGGGCGGAACCCGGAGCTGCAGCTGAGCTTCCTGCGGGCGGTCTCTCGGGTGTCTGTAATTGACCAAGGGAGAGGGACAAGCCACTTGTAAGGTGCCCTTTGCTGCTGCACGCGCTTCGGTGCGCATGCGCTTGCCTTCGTCCAGTTCAAGACTTGTAAGCTCGCAGTGAAGGTTTTGCAGAATCAGTGGCACTTTCTCGGTACAAAGGCATATTGAGTTGCTCTCTTGTACTCTTCTTTTTGACGGGACCTGGTTAAATTTTGACTTGTTAAAAGATCGGTGCGATTCAAAGTTACTAAGTGCCCATGTATCAGTTCCGACTCTGAATCCTGTATAGCGTTTCCAAGGAGCTGGTGGGTTTGAAGTGCATATCTTGCGGTTAGCACTCCAGTGCTTACCTTACTTAGTTGTCTGATTGCACCTTTTTTCCACTTGCTAACTTCGTGGATCCTTGGTTTCCTCATCTTGTAAAATGAAGATGAAGGATGGTTGTGGGTGCTATGAGGTCTTGGGATAATGTCAGTTATATTGCACACTGTCTTTTGTGGACTGAGAACGAGGGGATAGGGAACCTAATGCTTTCCCCCTGGGTCACACTCACTTGAAGTGGACCTTTGTTATTATGCTCATCTGGGCTCAGGATGAGTTGGAATGACTCCAAGCAACTAAAAACAGCTACATGGCCGCACAGACTTGCTGCTTTTACCCAGATTTAATGCGGAGTCTTGGTGTGGCGCTGTAGGTTAATACGCTGAATTGCAAAGTCGGATTGCTCCGTAAAGTCAATGGTTCAAGCTCACCAGTTGTTCCATGGAACCCCTATCCCGGGTCGCTATGGGTCGGAACAGACTCAACGGCACTTAACAGCAAATAGATATTCTTGAGTAAATATTTCTTACACTCTGTATTTCTTAGGACAATTTCCAGTGAATTTAAAGTTTTTAAGAATAATTTTCACCCATTTTGGGTATTTCACTGAGGAGTGTGTCTATAGAGTTCTTTACACTTCCACTAGAAATGGGACCTCAGGACTGTGTTTTGAGGATGAGATCGTGCAAGAGTTTTCAGTAATCTGGTAAAAAGCCGTTTTAAAATACCTCTTTGGCTGCAATTTATAGAATTAAAGGGAACAAAGCCGAATGCAGAGAGAACTATTATAATGCCACTAAGGAGCTCTGGTAGTGTTGTGGTTACGAATCGGGCTGCTAATGTCATAGTCATCAGTTCGAAACTACCAGCTGTTCTGTGGGAGAAAGATGAAGCTTTCTGTTCCCATTAAGATTTACAACCTCGGAAACCCTGTACAGGGTTGCTATGAGTCAGAACCGACTCCATGGCACGTAACAACAACAACATGCAATACCTGTAGATGTGGTGGTGAAAATGGGGAGCTAGAAAAATTAATTAGTTTAAAACAAAATTTGTAAGACTTAGGAGGCCTGGTGTGGCACTATAGGATAAGCACTGGACTCTTTAATTTCAAGGTGGGCAGTTCAAACCCAACAGCCTATCCTTTGAAACCGAATACAGGGTCTTTATGAGTGGAAACTGATTTGATGACACTTAACAGAAATTAATTGGATGGATGGGAAGTCACTTAGAATGGGGGGTGTGTGCATAAAAGGGTGGCATTAGAATATTTCATAGTCAGTATTTCAGGACCTGATTCTGCATGTCTAACCAGCTCCCTGCTGTTATTATTCTGCCCACTTTTTGAAAAGAAAGGTTCTAGGCTTTCTGTTTATGCAGCTGGTGAATAGTGGTGTAGTGAAGTTGTCCGTTTTCCTTTTTGTCTTCCTTACTGGAGGGCAGGGATTGTGTCTTGCTCATTGTTAATCTGAAGTACTTAGAACAGTGAATGACACATAAGAGGTGATTTGATGGGTAAATAATAATGGATGTTGAAAGATGGTGGAAGATGATGAATTGCATTTTGGTCATATTGTATGTAAGGAACCTGTGGGATATCCAGGTGGAAAATTATATCTTGTCTGCCTTGAGTTCAGAAAAGAGGTTTGGGAAACGTTGTAGATTTGAATCATGAGGATCCAGCTGATAATTTTTAAAAAAGGCAGAGGATTGGCTGATACTATTCTGGGAATCTGTATGTTGTTGTTAAGTGCTGTTGAGTCAGTTCTGACTCATAGTGGCCTATATAGGGTTTCCGAGGAGGGGCTGGTGAGCTTGAACTGCCAACCTTGTGGCTAGCAGTCCAGTGATTTTCCTACAGTGCCACATCAAGACTCCCAGGAATGTGTACAGGGGGAGAAAAATCCCTACTATATATTGGACATCCCTTTTTACTATGTATTTCACAATTCTGTTGTATCTATTGTAAGAGTGAAACGGCTGTAATTTTTTGTTATAGGTGAAAGAACTCTTTTCTTCTTTGGGAGTTGAATATAATATCTTGGAACTTGATAAAATTGGTAAGTATAATTTAGTACATAGGGCTGATTTGTGGTAATTATCAACAAGATTGACTTCTGTTTAATATTTTTAAATTTAATTTACTTTGGTCTCTTTGAGTTACTTGATCTGTCTTGGTCTGCATTTAACAGTGGATAAAATTGAGCCCATACGTGATAAAGTTTGGTTTAGGCTATTTTTTCTTTAAACTTTTAATTGTGAACTGAGTGAAGATTAAGTTTAGACTATTTTTTAAATATGTATTTTTTATTTGAGGGGGAGAAGTGAGAGGAAGACATGTATGTAAGCTACTGCCTTGAACAGTTTTAGATATTTCAGATGTATCTGTCAATTTTCTAGTAAAATAGATTAAGCTGAAAGAAATGAAAAGAATCTCCTATTTCCAGTTGTATTACCATGAGGGGGAACTAACATAGGCAGGTGTTGTGAAACAGGAGGGAATGTAGTGACGAACAGAACAGGGCTTTGAATCAGCCTGGTTCGTCATGGCCCATGAAATGAGATACGAACAGACTCAAATTTTTAAAATGTGGCTGAACTGGGACATTAACTGGAATGGGGAAATGTACAGGTCAAAACCCTGCTAGAAAGGTAATGTTCATCTTAGAAAATAAGGGCAATATCTGCGTTGCATAGCAACCAAATCTCTCGACTTGCTGAGTCGAAAATAATGCTACCTGGTTCAGAGATGGTGGGTGCCCACTCTGCTTTGAATGTGTGATGTTCTCCAACGTCCTGGCGCTAATCCAGTGTCATATTCAGGCTCCTGAAAGGGCTCACTGAGTCTTCCCTTCCTGGCCTTTGACCTGTAATTTTCCCTGTTCAAGTTAATGTTCTGGATCACCCTAATTTGATTCTGTTCCAGTTTTGTTTCATCAGCAATGACTGAACTGATTTGAACTGGTTCAAAGCCCTAAAACAGAACTGACTTGGTCTCTATTTTAAGAGAACTGCACTAACTCTTTGTAACCAAGTTACTTTAATAAGTGAAATGTTCTTGAATGTTTGAGGCTTTCTAAAGGGTATACCAAGTAAGATAGTCTAAAGTAGTCATGGCCTATTTTTATTTTGGGGATATAGTATTAACTTTGGACTCTGATTATAAAGATTCTTCAAAATTTTCAAAGCATTTTCGGTATTATTAATATTACAACAGATTTTATCTTTATATTTGCCTTGCCTTACAAATTGGGTCTTATTTATAAAGGGGATCTTGATACTTGCTTTATATAAAAAGTGAAAAACCTAACTCAAGTATCGTCAAGTTGATTCCAACTTGTAGCAACCCTGTGTAGGGTTTCTGAAGCTACAAATCTTTATAGGAACAGAAAGCCTCATCTTCCTCCTGTGGAGTGACTGGTGAGTTTAAACTGACAACCTTGTGGTTAGCAGTCCAGTGCTTATCCTACACTTTTTTAAGTGCCGTCAAATTGATTCCGACTCATAATAACCCTGTATAGGATTTCCGAGGAGCAGCTTGTGGATTTGAACCACTGACCTTGTGGTTAACAGCCAACAACAGTTTTAAAGTCCAGTGCTTATCCTTATAGCTCTACAGTAGGGACATTAATTCTTTATTAAAGGGTTCTTATGATATTTGCTTTATAAAGGGGGTCTCATCTATAAAGGAGGAGTCCTGGTGTGGCGCTGAAGGATAAGCACTGAACTGTTAGCCACAAGGTCTGCGGTTCAAATCCACCAGCCGCTCCTTGGAAACCCTATACAGGGTACATTTGAGTCAGAACTGACTCAATAATAACAATTTATAAAGGAAGAAAGGAAGCCTGCTGGCACTGTGGGCTAAGTTTGACCTGCCAACTGTAAGGTCGATGGTCAAGCTCACCAGCCACCCCAAGGAAGTATGATGAGAATATTTGCTCCTATAAAGATACAGTCTCAGAAACCCTAGAGAGCACTTCTCCTCTGCTCTGTACGGTTGCTCTTGAGTCCGAATGTACTCAATGGCAGTAGGTTTTATCGCTCTCAGAATCTAACTTAGAAAGGTTTATCTTTTAAAGCATTCATTGGTTGGTCTTTCTTCTTTACCTAGGACATTCATTGAAAGCATAGGTATTTCCCCCACCCTGACTCATCAGTTCATGTATTTTTGTAATTCAGCAAGCTTGTATGGGTTTATATGTGAGCTGAGTGTTGTGACACTTCAGTTCAACTCACAGAAGTTTAGAGCCCATTCCATGTTTATATGTATGTAATTTTTATTCTTTAGATGATGGGGCCGCTGTTCAAGAAGTTCTGTCAGAGATCACAAATCAGAGAACGGTACCCAATATTTTTGTGAATAAAGTACATATGGGTGGATGTGACCGAACTCTTCAGGTAATAGTAGTGTTATATCTTTTACAAAGCTGTTCAAATTGTCTTTAAAAATATTTTTAAAAAGGAGGAAAAGATCTTTTAGGCATCTGTTAATTTGTCTTTTGTTGTTGTTGTTATGTGCCGTGGAATTTGTCTTTTAGAAGCTGGAAATATGGAAAAGCACCTAGGATGGCTTTTTGATAATCTTAATTAAGGGGGGATTAACTTTTCTACCAACCCTAATTCTCTGTTGAGAATATACACAGCAGAAGCATACACCAACTCGTTTCTGCCTACAGTTCAGTGACGTTGATTACAGTCTTGGAATTGTGCAACCTTTCTCACCGTGCTTTTCGAAGTTGTTCCTGCCTCACTAACATAAACTGGCGTCTCTTCAGGGTTCTCTCTGCTCTTTTGAATTGCTATTATCACTTTGATTCCATAAAGATAGGTTTTAAAAGAGCATAACAGACATTCTTTACTGTTCACATAAACTGTTGTTTGGTTTTGGGGAGTGCGGTGGGTCCGAACAGTAAGTACAGGACTACGAACCATGAGGTCTGTAGTTCGAACCTACCAGCTGCTCCATGGGAGAAAGACAAGACTTTCTACTCCCTTGAGGATTTAAAGCCTTGGAAACCCTATAGGGTGACTACGAGTCGGAACTGACTTTGTGTCAGTTAACAACAACACTGAGTTTAAGAACACTTCAGGGGATATTTTTGGTTTAAGGTTTAAAGGTTATTTTAGGGCTATAGTTTAGGCATTCATCCAGCCTCCATGTTTCCAGAAAGTCTGGAATATATGAAAATTTGAAATTCTTTTCTGCAGTTTACCCCTTTTGATCAGAACCCTTCTATAGAATCTTTGATCACAATGTTCTGTAATAGTAGCATGGCACCATTCATTTCAGGCTCCTGGCAAAGGGGAGTTGTTCGTGGATGCAGTTAGTCACACATTCCATATCCTCTTCTTATTCCTGACTCTCCTTCTTCTGCTCTTGCTGCAGACAAATGTTGTTGTTAAGCACTGCTGAGTAGGTTCCGATCATAGCGACCCTGTATAGAGTTTTTAATGAGCGGCTGGTGGATTTGAACTGGCAATCTTGTAGTTAGCAGTCCAGTGCTTACCCTACAGTGCCACACCATGACTCCAAAAATGAATAAAGACTAATTGTTGTACCTTGTGTGGCTGTTGCAAGCTTGTAAGACCCCTGGAGCTATGTAATAAACTACAACAGAAACCCTGAGCATAATATTAAGCCAGTTAACTTGGATGTCCCATGAGGTTTTTGGTTATATATAAGCAGCCTCAGCAGGTGTTTATTACATACAACCAAAATAGCGGATGTATCTGTCAATTTTCAAGTAAAATAGATTAAACTGTATAATCTATTTCCACGAGGGGGAACACATTGATTTTTTAGCTTTTTGCTTTTTGAGTTGTTATTCTTCCCTGTCTTCATTCCTGCCCCCTTCTGCCCATCCCATATTAATTGAGTACTTAATGCACACAGGTGCTGTGAAGGGAAGGGGTAGGGGATGTAGTGGTGAATGGAACTGGCCTTCGAACCGGTTCAGCCTGGTTAAATGATGGCTGCTGAGGTGACATCAGAACAGACTCAGATTTTTAAAATGTGGGTTGTTGTAAATATGTCTATCACACAATTTTTGCCAATTTAACTTTTTACAGGTTTGCAGTTTATTGACAGCAATCACAACTCTTACTTTAGTGTGATTTTCTTTCTATCACCATAACCCAAACTCAGTACTCCATAAGCAGTACTCTTATTCCACAACCTTGTCCCTGGTGGTGCTGTAGGATAAGCACTGGACTGTTTAGTGCAAAGTTGGCAGTTCAAATTCACCAGCTGTTCTGTGGGAGCAGGATGAGAGCTTCTGCTCCCATTAAGGTGTACAGTCTCAGAAATCCTATATAAGGTTGCTGTGAGTTGGATTGACTTGATGGCTGTGGTTGGGCCTGCTCCTTGTAGTCACTAATCAACTTTAGTCTCTCTGTATTTGCCTGTTCTTGTCTTTATATAAGTGATAGGATATTTGTTCTTCTCTGATTGACATATTACACATAGTAATGTCTTCAAGCTCCATGCATATTGTGGCATGTATCAGAACTACATTACTCCTGTTGACTGAGTAATATTCTATTGTCTGTGTGTACCACAATTTGTTTACCCATTTTCTATTGATGGGCATTTCAGTTGTTTCCACCTAGTATTTTATTTTTATTTTTTAACTTTTTATTGTGAATTGAGTAAAGGTTTACAGGCAAGGTCATCAGTTTTACATTCAACAAATCATACACTTTGTTTCATTTCCATGATTGCCATCCCCCCTCCCTTTATTATTTCCATTCCACCCTCCTTCCCATCCCGTCTCAACTTTGTCCTTTAATGTTGCCCTTTTGATTTTGGATGATTGACTATTCCATGAGAAGCATACCTTACTAGTGTTGCTGTTTCCCCTATATACCTATCTGCTGTTTGGCTGAAAGTTGGGGTTCCAGTTTTCCCACATCCCTACCAACATTTGTCAGCTTCTTTTTTTTTCTTCTTTTTTAATGTTAGTCATCCTGTGGTAATGATTATATATCGTTGAGTCAGTTCTAACTCCTAGCAACTCTATATAGGATTTCTAAGAGCGACTGGTGGGTATGAATTGCTGACCTTGCAGTTAGCAGTCCGGTGCTTATCCTATCAGAGGAGCCCTTTTTAGTGTGTACCCATTCTTCAGTGGGCTGTATAACATCTGGTGAGTCCCATAGTTATAAAGAACTTCATTGTGTTTTATGGGATGAGCTACTTCAAAAATGGTGTTTCTTGTTCCTTATTCAAAGCCAAGGTAGTGGAATTGAGAAAGTCACTTATGTAAGATAAAAAAGCTGTTGTTAAGCTACCTATCTATCGATCCTCAGCAAAAATGGTGCACAGACCGTGCCGGACTTCCTCTGGCTTCACAAAGGGGGAAGAAAATCAAGCTCAAATTCACCCAGTTCCTACAACTTTTACCCTATTCTGACACCCACACTCTGCTTCACATCTGAACTTGATAATCCATCGCAGTGGCCACACAGAACTCTTAGACAATATTAGGGATGTGAGCAGAATACAACTCAGCATCAGAAACAGCTCAGGATGCCACAGTCTTCCTGTCAGGAACGCTTCTTCTCTGCCATACTGCAGGCACACCTCTCTCTTGTCTTTAGTCCCTCAGCCATGTGGCCCTTTGGCCTCTGCCGTGCTCAGGCAAGTGTTACAAAGTTCCTTTAGCTAGTCTGTAATATCCAGAGGTTATAGTCTTCAAGTCAGCCTCCTGTCTATAGGCACTAGCTGTACTTGGTCCATGGACACAGAAGTGCACAGCTGCTCTGTCTCTCTGTGCTGCCGCATGTGCCACAGCCTCTGTTGTTACCACTTTTCCAGATAGGAATTCCACGTTCTGCTCCTGTACTTTGTGGATGGCCCTGAGTTGTCTGTTCCTCCTGCTGAGATGGCTTCTTTTAAACCTAGCAGGATGGCAAAAGTAACCCATGCCAACAGTTGAGTCCTGTGTACCCTCTTTGCAAAGTCCCACCCAGTCATTTAGTCAGAATTATGACCTGGGACAGAAAAGTCATATCAAGTAAATTCTAGGTACCATACCCTCTAATCTTATTTAAGTCATCTCTGATCACAAGGAGGACCACATAAACAAAAGGAAGGTGACACGCCAGTCCATGATGACTGCTGAAAGAAAAAGAAGACTGTAGTGTTTTATAGGAACTTTCTAACTCAGCTACAATATTTAGACCAATTCATAAAGAACTGTGGGGAAAAAAAACAAAAAACCTCAAAGCACATATCTCCTGGTCGTGGGTAAGAACTGTTTTCAAAATAAAGACTAGTACATAGGAATAAAATACAGAGGATCTTGAAAAATGGTTATTTTTTTCATTTCACTGCACTTAAATTAGGTAGTTGGGTCATTTGACACATCCCTGGCTATCAGATCAAAATGGACAAAAATACATGTACTTTGACATATGTTCTAACTTGTTGGACCCTATTTGGACAGCATCAAAATATATTTACAATACAACAATCTCCTGAGTTGTATAGATTGTTTCTAAGGATTTTTTTAAAAAAAAGAAATCCATGCTGATGAAACAGAAGGTGCAAATAGACAAGTAATGCATTATTGTGTCTCCTTTCATTTTAAACATAGGCACATCAGAGTGGTTTATTACAGAAGGTCCTTCAGGAAGATTCACATGAACCTTCATATGATTATGATCTCATTGTCATTGGTGGTGGTTCTGGTGGCCTTTCATGTGCTAAGGTATGAAAACAAAAATGAAATGTGTAGATAATTTCCCTCATGGTTACCACAAACATTTATTCTACTTAAAACAAAACAAATTAATTATAATATTATAAGTTAAGTTTTTATTGTAATAACTGGTTTAATAAAAGGAAAAGATTATCTTACCACACAGTCTGTTTTTGTTTAGGAGTGAAGAAAATTTGGGGCATGCCAGGAAAATGATAAGTTCTTTATGTGTCATCATTTTTTGCAGGAAGCTGCCATTTTGGGAAAGAAAGTTATGGTGCTAGACTTTGTGATCCCATCACCTCATGGCACAACCTGGGGTGAGCTGTTTTTCATTGGTGTTAGTGGTGTCCCTATTGTTCGCCTTAATTCTAGTGCTGCAGAAATGCCGTAAGTGTGTGGTTTTAACGAACAAATTTATTTTCTCACAGTTGAGGAGTCTATAATTCTGAATTCGGAGCTTAGAAATCATCAGTCTTCTCTTGGGTCTAGGAGGTTCTCAGTTCCAAGTCCCTGGGTCCAAAGGATGTGTTCTATTTCCAGCTTGTTTTTTCTTAGCAGTGAGATCCCTCTCCTCTCTGCTTGCTTCTCTCTCATTTTACTTCTTTTAAAAGATGCGACTCAAGCCAGGGTGTGACATGAGTAAGGGTATGACCTTGAGTAAGGTGATGTGAGTCACACCCTCTTGTGAGACTGTGACTCAAGACACACCCCACACTAATCCTGCCTCATAAGTGTATAAAATGGAGGCAGATCACAAAATGGAGAACAACCACGCAATACCTAGAATATATGCTAAGTTGACACACATTTTTAGATGACAGAGTCCAATCAGTGACATTGTTCTCTGCTCTTGACATACATGACTTACTTCATGAGTATTATTTAACCTTCTCAGTTACCTTAAGAGGTGTAAAACTAGTCCAGAAAACTGAATGTGGACAAGATTAAGTAACTGGTTTTAAGATTGTGTAGTTAAACAGGTGATGAAATTGGGAAGAATGTAAAAAAAAAAATTAAATTTGCTAAAAGAGAAAAATTCCTATAACCCAACTACTCCAACACTTCTGTCTTAATAATTTGTGATAATTCATGTGGTGTTCAGGTCATGATCACATGTATTTACTGTATCGTGATAAGGTTATCATAAACATTTTTCTGAGCTTGTGCTTTGATTTAATAATTGATTATAATGTTTGCATGATAGCCTGTGGAGTTATTGTGGATAATCATACAGTTTACGTTAATAAAAAGCATGATGTGCTCTCAGCCCCAGGACTTTAGTGTATAGTGACTTCTTAGTTTCCTAGGGTTGTCTTTCTTTCTTTCTTTCTTTCTTTCTTTCTGTTTTTCTTTCTTTCTATTTATTTATCTATGAAACAGGGCACATTGGTTTTATGATGGATATTTTCTATTTATGCTTGTCTTTGCCCTCGAAGGCTGCCTAGTTGGGAACATTGCCCTCTGCCTTTGAGATGGGTTTGGACTATTTGGGGCAATGGGAGGAGAACAGAGGGAAGGAGGAGGGTGAAATTAAAATCTTATTCTCTTGGCTCTCTCCCTGCTGCAGGTGGCTGCATCCTTTTGGGGAGGGCCGTCACCCCATTCTACTGGTCTTTCCATGTGTTGTGGCACTCACTCAGGCTTCTTTCGCCTTTAGTGTGGCAAGTCACATTTACCTAACTTGAGTATGTTTGATTCCTGCCAGAACTTTGCCTGATAAAATAAGAAAATCATTTTTGAAAGTTCAAACTAACTCAAAATAGTTTAGACTAGAATTTCATAAAGCAAAGCTAAACATTGGTTTTTCTCATACTATTCTTCTGGTCTTTTTTTCCTTCCTCCTTCTTCTTCCCACTCTTTCCCCACTTTGTGTACCTCTCCTGCCCAGAAATATCCTACTCTCTGGCAACCAGAAGAGACTTCTATCAATGAGGGAATCTTTTAACTATTGCATGATACATGATTTAAGATTCATAATACATGCCACCATGAAATCTGAGGGTGAAAAACATTCTGGTTCAGAGTAGGCGTAAAGTCACATAGGGTAAAAAGCTTGAAGCTGGAGTTCTGACCCTTGGTGCAGTTTATATCTAATAAATCAAGGTCTCATTCCTCGGACTCAAATGACTGCTTTAGCCTCTCTCCCCAGGAAACTGAGCTTATGCATATCCATAGAGCATTTTGCTCATCTGTAGGGTTCCTCCATGGCCTCTTGGTTAGACACTTTACAGTAAGAGCTCATGTTAGTTATCGTGGTGTGTGGTGTTGGGCTCCACAATCACGTGTGATTGTCATTTCCGCATGTGTTAACAGTACCCACCATTCAGGTATATAAAATCACACACACACAACCTTTAAAGCTGTAATTTTACTTCTTAGGTCTTGGTGGTACGTGTGTAAATGTAGGCTGTATTCCTAAGAAATTGATGCATCAAGCTGCTCTTTTAGGACAGGCGTTACATGACTCAAGGAAATTTGGCTGGGAATATAATCAACAAGGTGAGTAAAAATCTCAGATTGGGAGAAAAGGAGAAAGAATGAGTTTCTTAAATACTTGTATTTGTATTTTTTTAGTTGAGATTTAAATTTTAATAAACATTCATTGAGAGCTCCCTCTGTGCTAGCATGGCGCCATGGTCTCTGTGATGAACACTTAAAATATGGTCCTGCTTTCCTGGGTCTGACAGCTGAGGGAGGGGATTGTTTCAGCAATAGCAATTCCAGATTTGTAGTCGACTGAAAGAATAATCACTATTTTCAAATTGGCCTCCATTGTAAAGAAAATAAAGTAGTAAGAGTCATTTGAATTTTATCCATTCAGTGTGATAACAGTTTCTATTTTATCAGTGGTTATATATGTCTTTGGTTAATGAAAGATGGAAAATTGTCCAATGAACATTAGTTAGACTTTGAGGATACCGATATGAGGACAATATAGCTATATCCTTACCCAGTTATAGTCTGTTGAAAGAGATAGACAAGAACATCTCTTCCTTGTGAAATACATTATAACTAATGGTTCTGTTTTAGGCATCTCCTAGAGTAGACTTGCAGGTGGGGGTGTTAAGGTAAGCTTTAAGGTAAGAGATAGTTCAGATATAGGACATAGAAGACAGGGCATAGCTTGACCCAAAATAAAGACACGTTAGAATCGACTCATATCGAGGGAATTATGAGTGGCTGGAGTGAAGAATGGGCTGAAGGACACTAAGAGAAATGGAATTAAAAGAGACAAGCAGGTCATAAAGGGTCTTACATGCCATTTTAAGTAGTTAAATTTTACCCTGAAGATAACAGGAGAGCTATTGAGGAATTTTAAACAGAAGAGGAATGTGAACTACCCATTGGGAGACTATTATGGACCATAGAAGGCTGAGGGGCAAGGGGGTGATGGTGGTTTCCAAAGGTTAGGAACTGGGGACCAGTGTGGTGACCAGAGGAGTAATGATGAAGGCCTGAGATTGCAGAGTTGGATTGTGGTACATGAGGTGGCTTTAGAGAGGTGTAACAAACGGAATTAACAGGATGTGATAGCTAGTTAGATGTAGAATGCTGATTCTTCTTAATGTCTCTCAGTGGAATTTTAAAAAAATTACACATGCATTTTCTGGGCAAAGGTCACCACCTTTTTCTGTACCACCTGAACAATAACATGGTGTTCAACTCCAGCCTAACCCACTCTTTACTATATGAACAGTGAACAGAGAACTGCATACACACTATCATCCTCTGTTAAACTCACTAGGGGACAGGTGGTAAGCACCTAAGAACACACTAGCATACCATCATCAATTAAATGCAAATACAACAGTGCCGCTGTGTCACAGAGAGAACAGACAGCCTCAGTTCACACAAAGAAACCAGACAGAATGGCTCAAACAAGTGACCAAAATACAGAGCTAGAAAAGCACTCTGAGAAAGACATGGCATCAGAACTACCTGATAAGGAATTCAAACCTGATATTTAGTACTTTCAATGATTGAGAGAAAGATCAAGGAAACTGCAGATGATATCAAAACACCAGCAAAACTCTTCAAGACATTACAAGAACAAACCGACAATGCATGAAAAATTAGGAACCATACAAAAACAGCAAATAGAAATCCATAAAATTAGTATTAAGGTTTCAGAAATAACGCATTGAAAGGGCACAGGAGTAGAACTGAATCAGTGGAAGACAGAAATTACTGAGCTTGAAGTCAAAATATCTTAATCTGTGTGAAAAACAATTAGAAAAAAAGAACAATACAAAAACGAAGAAAGCCTAATAATAATGTGGCACACCATCAAGAGGAATGAATTACTCTTGTGTGATTGGAATCCCATTACTGGAAAAGGCAAAAAACAGCCTAGAGAAAATTATTGAAGCTTTGTTGGAAGAAAATTTCCTTAATATTGTGAAAGGCAAGATGATATACATTAAAGAATCTCAGTGAACCCAACAGGATAGACCCCAAAAGAAAATCACCAAGACATATCATAATCAAACTTCCCAAAACTAGACAAGGAAAGAATCCTGAAAGGCGCTTAGGAAAAGGAAAAGTTAACTACAAAGGAGAACCAATAAGACTGAGCTCGGATTTCAACAGAAACCATTCTGGCAAGAAGGCAAAAGAAAAAAGACCCTGCCAACAAAGAACTCTATGTCTAGCAAAATTGTCCCTCAAGTATGATGATAAAATTAGTGTATTTCCAGATAAATTAAGGGGCTTTGTGAAAACCCAAACAACCTTACATGAAGTACTAGCAGGACTTCTTCATACAGAGAACCAGCAATGGTAGACATCAACCTCAAATTAGCATACATAACACTACCCAGAATTCAGCCCAGATGTCGAAGTATTCACAGTAAAACAATCTATGAAATGGAAAATAGGGAACCAGAAATGTTAAGTGCCTTCAAGTTGGTTCCGACCGATAACGACCCTGTATAGTGTTTCTAAGGAGCAGCTAGTGAGTTTGAATCACTGACCTTATAGTTCAAACTGACCTTACTGTCCTGCTTTATCCCACAGCGACACACCAGGACTATTATAAAGTACCATGAGGAAATAAATAGTATAGTTATAGAACTTTCAAATAGAGAGGTTGTTGTTGTTGTGAAGTGCCATAGTTCCGACCCATAGCGATCCTGTATAGGGTTTCCAAGGAGCAGATGGTGAGCTTGAACCACTGACCTTGCAGTTCAAGTGGCTTTGCAGTTTGGCACATTAACCTACATTGCCACACCAAGAGTACAAATAGAGAGGTAGTCAAGTCAATTTCTAGGTGGAACAAACTGTTTTAAACGTAGGAATAAAATAATAAATTGCAGGGTAACCTCGAAGAAAATTAATAATTGTTCTCACCACCCCATTCCCCAAAAGGCAGTGGACCTGCTATGTGTTAATCTTATTAAATTTCCAAAGACCAAATACATCCTTTGCCATTTAAACTAGAACTTTAAAAATATGAGAAAGTTCACCTTTTTAATTTTTGATCATGACATATAAAGATATGATGTGATAGTCTAAAAGTAGAAATCTGTAGCCTACAGGTGTGCCAAAATTCTAGAAAAACTGTTAGCAGTTCCTCTAGAGCATAAATCCTGTATGCTGTAGCAATTCTTCTGCATTCAAGGATGCCAGAATGAGTCAACATTAGGAAATCATAATGGGAGTACATAAAATCAGTAAGATTGCCTGGATTTCAGCTAAAAAGACATTTTATAAAAACCTTACACACATTCTTGATTTTCATACAAGCTATCAGGAAATCTAAAAAAAGAAATGAACATTTCCATTATAAATGAAGAGAAGTAAAAGCAAATATTTCCTGGAGAAGTACTTGAGGTGTTTCCCTTAAAGTGAAGAGTCCAAGTTGCTCACTTCACTACTACTGTCGAATCACTCTAGTACTTCAAGTCAGAACAGAAAAGTAAAATACATGTATTTGAAAAGGAGGATAAAGTTAAGTTTACAATATGAATAATAAACAATTATATGTGCTATTCCTAGATAAGTGAAGACAAGTGATTCAACTAAAATATAAATGAATTCAGTAAGTTGGCTGCTTATGAAATCAATGTGCAAAAATCAACAATTTCTTATACATCATTAATTAGCTAAAAGTTATAATGAAAGTAGCAAAAAAATTATAGAAAACAATGAAATAAATTTAGCAATGTATAAAATATATAAGGAAAGGGATATAAGGGTATGTAACAAGAAATACACCATGATTTTGATGGGGGTGTCCTCAACATTATTTCTCTCAAAATTAATTAATTTGTGAATTTTATGTATGATTTTTCCATTGAAAATCTCAATCAGATCCTCCACGCCCCATTTTTGACACTTAGTGATGATTCTAAAGTTTATATTGAAAAATGTGAGAAAGTTTAGAGGTTGACTTTTCCACCATATTTAAATTCGTGATACTGTTACTGACACAGATCAATAAACAATACAGTATGAGGTTTCAAAATGCCAGTCAGTACACTCATGGGACCTTCATTTGCTGATGGGGCACAACTCAAAATGAAGAGAAACAACTGTACACATCTATTAATAATCAGAACATTATGGAATATATGAAGTATGAATCTAAGAAAATTGGAAATTGTCAAAAATGAAATGGAACGCATAAATAAATAGAAAACTTAGGCGTTAGTGAGCTGAAATGGA